GAAAACTCTTAGTGACCAGTTAAGCATGATGATGTGGTCAGTCATCTACAACCAGACATCCTGGAGTGTGAAGTCAATTGGGTCTTAGGAAGCATTACTATGGCCAAAGCTAGAGGAGGTGATGGAATTACATCTGAGCTATTTAAAATTCTAAAAGATGATGCTGTGGAAATGCTGCACAAAATATACCAGTAGATTTGGAAAGCTCAGCAGTGGCCACAGGACTGGAATAGGTAAGTTTTCATTCCAATCCCAGAGAAGGGCAATGCCAAAGAACATCCAAACTATCATACAACCACACTCATTTCACATGCTAGCAAGGTAATGCTCAACATCCTTCAAGCTAGGCTTCAGCTGCATGTAAATCGAGAACTTCCAGATATAAAAGCTGGGTTTAGAAAAGGCAGAGGAACCATCAATCAAATTGCCAACATCTGTTGAAGCATAGAAAAAGCAAGGGAATTCCAGAAAAACATCTGCTTCATTGACTGCACTAAAGGCTTTGACTGTGTGGATCACAACAACCTGTGGAAAATTCTTAAAGAGGTGAGAATATCAGGCCACCTTACTTGTATCCTTAAAAACCCATATGCAGGTCAAGAGGCAACAGTTAGAACCAGACATGAAGCTATAGACTGGTTCAAAATTGAGTCAGGATTATGTCAAGGCTGTATATTGTCATCCTGCTCATTTAACATATATGCAGAGTACATCATGTGAAATGTTGGCCTGGATGAATCACAAGCTGAAATCAAGATTGATGGGGGAAATATCAGCAACCTCAGATATGTAGATGATATCACTCTAATGCAGAAAGTGAAAAGAAACTAAAGAGCCTCTTGATGTGGGTGAAAGAGGAGAGTGAAAATGCTGGCTTAAAACTCAACATTCAAAAAATGAAGATCATAGCATCCAGTTCCCATTACTTCATGGCAAATAGATGGTGAAAAAGTAGAAACAGTGACAGATTTTATTTTCTTGAGCTCCAAAATCACTGTGGATGGTGGCTGCAGCCACAAATTTAAAAGATGTTGCTTCTCATAAAAAAAGCTACAACAAACCTAGACAGATATTGAAAAGCAGAGACATCTCTTTGCTGACAGAGGTCTGTATAGTCAAAGCTATGGTTTTTCCAGTAGTCACGTATGGATGTGACAGTTGGACCATAAAGATGGCTGAGCACTGAAGAATTGATACACTTTAATTGTGGTGTTGGAGAAGACTCTTGGGAATCCCTTGGACTGCAAGGAGATCAAACCAGTCCATCCTAAAGGAAATCAACCCTGAATATTCATTGGAAGGACTGATGCTGAAGTTGAAGCTCCAACACTTCTGGCTACCTGATGCAAAGAGCTGACTGATTAGAAAAGACCCTGATGCTGGGAAATCCTGAGGGCAAGAGGAAGAGAGGGTGACAGAGGATGAGACAGTTGGATGGCATCACTGACCTAATGAGCATGAGTTTGAGCAGACTCCGGGAGAAAGTGAAGGACAGAGGAGCTTGGTGTGCTGTGGTCACAGAGTCAGATGTGACTTAGCAAGCAAATGCCAGAGACAAGATACACAACATAACGATTCGATACATGCATATACTGCCAAACAGTTACCACGGTAAAATGGTTAGCATTCATCACCTTCCATAGACATAATGTCATTCCTTGTTATGAGGTCTTTTGAGGTCTATTTTCTTAGAAACTTTCAAATATGCAATACAGTATTATTAATTAATGTCATCAGGTTGTACATTATATCCCCAGAACTTATCTTCTAACTGGGAGTTTATGTCTTCTGATCATTTCTAACCAGTTCCTCCATCTTCTACTCCTGCCTCTGTCAATCACAATCTGATTTTCTTAAAATGAGATTTATTTTTAGATTCCACATAAAGGGAGATTAATACAGTATTTGTTTTTCTGTGTGTGACTGATCTCACTTAGCAGAATGCCCTCAAGATCTACCCAAGCTGTTGGAAATGCCAAGATTTTCTTTTTCATGTCTGAGTATTTCATATATATAGGTATTTGTGTGTGTATATATATATATATATGTAATTTTTTAATTCATTCACCTTTCAGACAAGATTGAACACACTCAGGGTAGTATGGCCATCGTATCCATTCACCTTTCAGTAGACATCAAAGTTGTTTCAATGTTTTGGCTATTGTAATAATTGTAAATAACTCTCTAGTGAGCATGAGCTTTTTATGTATTTTGGATGCTAATTCCTTACTAGATATGTTTCTGCAAATACTTTCTCCCAGTTCATGGGTTGCCTTTTCCTTTTGTTTATTTCTTTTGCTTTTTAGTTTGATATAATCTCACACACAAAAGAAACCCACTATAGATTTGCAATGTAATTTGAAATCAGGAAGCATAATGTCTCCAGCTTTGGTCTGTTTCTCAGGATTGCTTCGTCTGTTCAGGGTATTTGTGGTGCCATGCCAATTTTAGGATTGTTGTTCTATTTCCACGAAAAATGTCATTGGAATCTTGATAGGTATTGCATTGAATCTCACTATGGCTTTGGGCATTATGGACAATTTAACTTTATCCATTTTTTGAATCCATGAATATGGAAAATCTTTCTATTGTGTCTTTTCAGTTTCTTTTGTCAATGTCTTATAGTGGGTGTTCACTTTGGAGATCTTTCATCTCCTAAGGTAATTCATTCCTGAGTGTTTTGTTTTTGACACTACTGTAAATGGAATTGTTTTCTTTATTTTTTTTCCAGATAATTTGTGCTAGGTAACAGAAATGCAGCTGATTTCTGGCTGTTAGTTTTGTATACTGCAATTTACATTTGCTCATAAGATCTTACAGTTTTGGGGTGGAGTGTTTAGGATTTTCTGTGTTAAAAATCATGTTGTCTATAAACAGAAACACTTTCAATTATTTCCAGTTCTCTTGATATTTGTTTATTTAGTCATCTTTCATGCCTGATTGACCCAGCTTGGATTTCTAGCACTATGTTGTGTAGAAATGATTAGTTGCTTGTCTTATTCCTGATCTTATGAGAGACGCTTTCAATCATTCACCACTGAGTATGTTAGATGAAAGCATGTTACTATGAGCTTTATTATGTTGAGATGAAGTCCTTCGTCACTTGACTTGTGAATTTTTGTCATGATTGGATGTTGAATTTGTCAAATGCTTTTTGTGCATTTATTGAGAGGATTATGTGATTTTTACATTTCATTCAATTAAAGCAGTGTATCACATTGATTGATCGACCCACTCTTGCATGTCAAGAATGAACCCTACCAGATCATGGTGTATGATCCTTTCTATGTGCTGCTGAATTTTATTTGCTAGTATTTTGTTGAGAGTTTAAAAATCTCCATTTATCAAGGGTAATGACCTGTGATTTTATTTTCTTGTAATTTCCCTATCTCACTTTGATATCAAAGTAATATTGGCTTTGCAAAAAGAGTTTGAAAATGGTATTTTCTCTTTATCTTTTTGGAAGACTTTGACAATGATTGGAATTAATTCTTCTGTAAATGTTTGATAGGATTCACCATGAAGTCTTCTGGTCCTGGGCTTTTTTTGCTGGGAGGTTTTTAATTACTGATTCAATCACCTTAGTCATTATTGGCCTGTTTAGTCTTTCTGTTTTTCCTTGATTCAGTTTTCCTAAGTTGTATATTTCTAGAAATTCATCTATTTTTTCTAGGTTGTCCAATTTGGCAGGAAACCAGAGACCAAGAGGAGCTCTCTTGTCGTGACATTGAACCAGTAGTGGGGAAGGGCAAGGCTGTCAGGGAGGAACTTCTCTACTCCCCTAATGTGGTTCTTCTTGGTCAGTGTGGTCCAGAGAGGTGGTTCACATTCATCTCTGTGTTTTAGGATTTTCACACTGGTATCCTTCCTATGAATAGTTACTAGTTCCTTTTTAAGTGAAGGGAACTGAAATTAAGAATGATCTATACTGCCATCTTGATTATGACACTCAGAACTAAGACTCTAAAGTCTGAACCCTTAACCAAAGTTCTATGCTCTTTCCTAAGAAGAAAAGTATCAAAATAAATAGGCCAATAAAGGGGGTCAGTAGTGAGTTTTACTAGCTTATTTTTGAGATATTTTACATGATGTCCTCCCTAAGAACACTTACTACATAACTTAATTGGGCATACCTGCTGTATCTCTCTAACAACTCAAGATTACAAATCATGATATATTTTTCTAGGCCATTTAGAAGCCACTGTAATAAATATATTTGTAAAAAGATTGAGAGGTAATTAAAAATGGAGTAACTTTTTCATATGGATAAAAGAAGAAAATATAAAAAAAATCTCTCTAGATGATCATCTAGGAGAAGAGCTGCTTCAAATTTATCCTGCAATGGTACCACTTGTGCTATATTATTATAAAGCAGCAGTTATACATTATTAGAGGTCTTTGAAAAACCCAGCATTTTAATCAATGATCTCTTCCTTATATATAATAATCACAAGATTTCTATTGCTTTTTAAAAAAGTTTTCAACTTTTAAAATATATCTTTTAATAATCATGAGGCCTCATGAAATAACTGAGAACCTGAAATACTGAGGAGGCACTTCCTGACAATTCAAGATGAAGAGCTGAGATCTTTTCTCCAGGGCAGTGGAGCATTTCCTTTTATCCAGTGCTCAATGGAAGAAAGACATGGCATATATGAGGACTGTGATGATGTCATGTCACCTGAGCCAGCGATGCATTCTCTTGTCTCTTTTCTGATTTTAGGAGTACAAAGCCAATGATTCGGGGAGGAAATATTACAAAGACCATGCATTTTATCCTTTTGGGTTTCTCAGATTTTCCCAGAATCATAGTAGTGCTCTTTGTCCTATTCCTGGTGATGTACATTTTGACCCTGACGTGGAACCTGTCCCTCCTCATCTTAATAAGAATGGATTCCCACCTCCACACCCCCATGTACTTCTTCCTCAGTAAACTGTCCTTGATAGATATCTGCTATGTGACGTCCACAGCCCCTAAGATGCTCTACGACTTCTTTCAGGAGCGGAAAATGATCACCTACGTGGGTTGTGTTGTTCAGTACTTTGTATTTTCCACCATGGGGCTGAGTGAGTCTTGCCTCATGACCGCCATGGCTTATGACCGATATGCTGCCATTTGTAACCCACTCCTCTATTCCTCAATCATGTCACCCACTCTCTGCGGTCGGATGGTGCTGGGATCCTACTTGGCTGAACTCTCTGGTTCTATGCCCCAATCGTGTGCCATGCTCCAGCTCCACTTCTGTGGGCCTAATGTCATCAACCACTTCTTCTGTGACATGCCCCAGCTGTTAGTTCTGTCCTGCACTGACACTTTTTTTGCACAACTCTTCACTGCCATAACAACAATAATCTTTGGAATAATAAATGCCTTAGTTATCATGATATCCTATGTCTACATTGTCATCTCCATCATGAAGATCACGACAGCAAGCGGCAGGCCCAAGGCTTTCAACACCTGTGCTTCCCACCTGACAGCAGTCACTCTCTTCTATACCTCCAGTACCTTTGTCTATTTGAGTTCCACCTCTGGTGGTTCCTCCAGCTTTGACAGATTTGCATCAGTCTACTACACGGTGATGATTCCCATGTTGAATCTTTTGATTTACAGTCTGAGGAACAAAGAAATCAAAGATGCCTTGAAAAGATTGCAAAAGAAGAGAGGGTGTTGCTGAGGTCACAGATTGAGATTTCTGATGGATTTGTCTTGTTAGAATGACCTACCTTAATCCTCAATAATATTTATATGAATGGACAGCAACAAAGTTCATTCTGCCTTTCACAAGACTTAATTTGACCCAGATAATTTGCCAATATGGCCCAACAACTGAATCAAACTACACAAACACAATATCTTTAAGTCCTAGAGACCCATTGTTTTTATCTTCCATGTGGAATGGCCTCATCATTTATTAATCTATTAACAATTATTGGACTCCGGGATTTGGTGATGGACAGGGAGGCCTGGCGTGCTGGGGTTAATGGGGTGGCAAAGAGTTGGACACGACTGAGTGACTGAACTGAACTGAATTATTCGTGAAACATCAAGATTTAGAACCTGTTGCTTCTTTTCTGCATCTGACGGGCTTCTGACCCTAAAGGAGAGATACCCCTGACAGAGGCCCTAGGAGTGTGTAAACCTTGTCCCTCATATATTCTGATGCAGCATAATCTAGACATGGTGGTCATTGATGTCCATTCTTTGTTTCTGGCTGGAATGAGAACAAACACACAGAGAGAATGTGTCTTTGGACAGAAACAAGGTATACAGTTGGCCTAGTTGTGCCTTCCTGGAAGACGAGTCCGATACAGCTAACGTTTGAGTAACACCTCTTTCAGTGCTTATTACCTAATAAGTTACTGATCACATTCTAGTCCCACAGTTATAGTCTAAATAGGAGGACATGATTTGAACAGTAAAGAGAGGTGGAATGCAGTGTGTGGCCCCTGCAGAGCTGTTAACTTAGAATTCTGATGATGCAACACTTTGCATCTAGTGTCCAGTGGGAATTTCTGATGGGGATGATATTCAATATCCATGTTACAGTCAGTAGCAATTTCTGATAGTATGGAAGTCAAGCCCCTCTTTCCCTCCCTCATTAAGTCTGGAAAATTTACCCCTGGTTGACATAGCTAGTGGGATCATAGTGTCAAAATAAGTCCTGCTATTTCAAGCATCTGAACATATTTGATGTGATGAGAATTGTATGAGAATTCATGGCAATAATAAAGTTACCAAATATTCAATGTTGCAGAATAAGAGCCAATATGGAAAAACCAGTATATATTCCTTTCTGTTGTCTGTGTTCAATGTGTCATGTCCTAGAAATTTATAGTTGTATGCAGGTAATATAATCATCAAGATGGAATGATTAGAAGTACTTTAATGCTGATGTCTTCCTGGAAACCTCAAACCTCAAGGGGCAAGAAAGAAAATAGTTTGTGTGATAAGCAGGGTTATCAGCTCTAGCCAGTTTATATCTTCAGAAGCAGGATATAATTTATGGTCCCATGGTCTGGTTAAAAAGAAGAACAAGGTGCTTTCCTGACTGTTGAGTTTCCAGATCTCCCAGCCTTTAACAAACTAACTGAAGTGTATCATTATTTTATATTTTATCCTTAGAGAGTCATTGGATTCTTAATGCTGTTTTAGGGCATCAATGCCTATGTTCCCATGAACTATCCTACCTAAGTGACGACTGTGAGAGAGAAGATATTTGAAGCCCTTGTACAGTTTTCCATTAGTTCACACATGACTGTGCCTGAGAGAAGGGGACCTGTTGAAGTTTTGCAAGAGTATAATTAGGGCTACCCCGTGCCAAAGAAATAGTGCAATATAAATAAAGGATATGTGCCCACTTCACTCCCATCCAAACAGGTACATTTTCTTAAGCACTGCTCTTTAAAAATGTGTAAGAGTGTATGCAAAATCTGTTTCTAATAGTCTATGAAGTCTTCAGTAGAAGAGACATCTGCTACATGTTGGCAATACAGTGTTGATTAAAATCACTATGCTGTGCATTAGACCTCCAGAATTTATTCATCCTCTAATTGCAAGTCTGTGCCCTCTAAATTCATCCCTTCAATTCCCCTGCTCCTATCAAAGTTGAATATTTTTCTGTTGTTTTTATATAGCACGTCTTCATTATCAAATCATCTGTTGATAAACACTTAGGTTGTTTCCATATTTTGGCTCTGTGATTAATGTGGCAATAAATATGGAAGTACATATCTTTTTGATATCCTATGTTTATTTCCATTGGCTATATACTCATAAGTGGGATTGCTGGATCATATGGTAGATCTATTCTTAATTTTTGAGGAATCTCCATAATGTTTTCTGTAGCAGCTGAGCTCCATTTGCATATCCCCACCCACAGTGTACAAGCATTCTCTTATTGCCCCATCCTTACCAACACCTGTGCTCTCTCTTTTTCTTAATGATTGCCATTCTAACCATTGTGAGGTGATGCATCATTTTGGCTTTAATTTACATTTCCCTGATGATTCGCGATTTGAATACAAAGAGAACCAAACAGAGCATATCACAAATAAAATGTCAAAAGATAAAGACAAGGAGAAAATCTTAAAAGCTGCAAGAGAAAAGCAACGTGCTACATACAAGAGAGCTTCCTTAAGGCTATCAGTGCCTTTTCCACTAGAATGTCTCAGCCCAAGGCAGTGGCGCTATATATTCAAAGTGCTGAAAGAAAAGATTGCCAACCAACAGTAGTCTATCTGGAAAAGTTGTCCTTCAGGACTGAAGGAACGATAGGTAGTTGTTCAGGAAAACAAATCTGATGATTTTACACTAGACTGAGTTTACAACAAATGTTAAAGGGACTTTTTCAAGCAGAAATAAAAGATCATTAATTAGTAACACAAAGCATATAAAAATATCAATCTCTCTGGTAGGAGTAAATAATGTTGAATTCTGAATATGCTAGAGTAGCCATGCTGGCATATCACTTATCAATCTGGTATGAAGATTAAAACTCCAAAGAGGTAAATGTAACTAACACTCCAATAATTTGTTAATGGACATACACGATAAAATAATGCCAATTATTAGATCACAAAAGTAAAATGTGAGAGAGAGAGGTAAAAAATTATTCTTGTATGCATTTGAATATTAAGTTGTTTTCATGTTAAAACAGACTGTTTTAGGATAAGATCTTTAATGTAAGCCTCATGGTTAATACAAAGCCAATCTATAGTAAATTCACAAAAGATAAAGAGAAATGAATCTAAGCATGCTGCTGCTGCTGCTAGTTGCTTTAGTTGTGTCTGACTGTGCAACGCCATAGATGGCAGACCACCAGGCTCCCCCTTCCCTGGGATTCTCCAGGCAAGCATACCACTACACAAAGCAGCAAATTATAAAGAAAGCAGAAGAAGAAAGAAAGGAATTACAAAACAGTCAGAAAAATAAACAAAATGGCAATAGTATATTCACATCTGTCAATAATAATTTAAATATAAATACTAAATTCTCTGATCAAACACAATGAGTGTTGTACGGATATAAAAGTTGAGCCCAGCTATATGTACCTACAAGAGACTCATTACAGCTTTAAGAATGGAAAGAAATTGATATCGATTGAAAGTGAAGGGATGGAAAAAGTAATTCCATGTAAGTAAAAATCAAAATAGAGCAGGATTAAGCTATACTTATCTCAGAAAAATTAGACTTTAAGACAAAAAGTACTGCAAGAGGCAAAGAAAGTCGTTATACAATGATAAAGGGATCAGTCTCACAAAGGGATATAGCATTTGTAAATATATATAAACTCAGCATAGAACATGTAAATATACAAATAAAATATTAACAGACTTGAAGGAAGAAGCAGATAGCATTACAATAATAGTAAGGAAATTCAATATCCCACTTTAACAATGGATAGATCTTCCAGACAAAATATCAATAATGAAACATTAGAATTAAGCTACACATTAAAACAGAGATGTTTAAATGACACAGAACATATGCACGAAGGAAGTAAAAGACATTCTCTTTACAAGTGCATATAAATCATCCTCTAAGATAGAGCATATGTTAGGCCACAAAGCAAGTTTCAAGAAATAAAAGAAGATTGGAATGATGTCAAACATCTTTCCAGACACAAATGTGTGAAATTAGAAATTAAATACAAAAAGAATACTTGAAAATTTGCAAATTTGAGGAGGTTAAACAACATGTTACTGAACATCATGGGTCATGGGCCACAGGACTGGAAAAGGTTGTTTTCATTCCAATCCCAAAGAAGGGCAATGCCAAAGAATGTTCAAACTACTGCACAATTGCACTCATTTCACATGCTAGCAATGACTGAGCAACTTCGCTTCACTTCACTTTCAGGATTCAATGGTGTGTGAACCAAGAATGTCCAGATGTACAAGCTGGATTTAGAAAGGGCAGAGGAACCATAGATCAAATTGCAAACATCCACTGAATCATAGAAAAAGCAAAGGAATTCCAGAAGAACATCTACTTCTGCTTCTTTGACTGTGCTAAAGGCTTTGACTGTGTGGATAATAACAACCTGTGGAAAATTCTTAAAGAGGTGGAATACCAGACCACCTTACTTGTGTCCTGAAAAACCTGTATGCCAGTCAAGAAGCAACAGTTAGAACCAGGCATGAAACACCAGACTGGTTCAAAATCGAGGCAGGAGTATGTCAAGGCTGTTTATTGTCATCCTGCTTATTTAATTTATATGCAGAGTACATCACATGAAATGCCAGACTGGATGAAGCACAAGCTGGAATCAAGATTGTCTTATGTTTTTAAATCTGTCTTAACAATCTGTTCAGTCTAAATGGTTAAATCATTGGTTTTTATCACAAGGCTATATAAGTACCAACAAATTGAAAGTGAAAGTGGCTCAGTGGGTCTAACTCTTTGCCACCCCGTGGACTATACAGTCTATGGAGTTCTCCAGACCAGAATACTGGAGTGGGTGGCTGCTCCCTTCTCCAGGGGACCTTTCCAACCCAGGGATCAAGCCCAGGTCTCCCATATTGCGAGCAGATTCTTTATCAGCTGAGCTACAAAGGAAACCTAAGAATACAGGAGTGGGTAGCCTATCCGTTCTCCAGCATATCTTCCCAACCCAGGAATCGAACTGGGGTCTCCTGCATTCCAGGTGGATTCTTTACCAACTGAGCTATCAGG